GTAACCAACTACAAATAACGGTAGGGGGGGGGCTAACACGGGTGACGACGCATCTGTATAATCTGTGGCAAACCGTTTCAGGGTGTTCTGTACCATAAAAATAGTACAGAGATTCTTTTGTTCTTTAGACCAAATTGATTATTAAAAAGAGTGAAGAATACGCATGTTAATTTCTCTAGAACGATGTACCTCTGACGAAGACATGAGATCTCCGACCTCTAGTTCCAAGTGAAAATGGCGGTCTTTTGGCATTATTTTTCATCGGAAAATCTTTTCCCCCAAAACCTTGAGAGGTTTAAGAAAGTAAAAATCTGTTGTTCCTGTAGCTACAGGGATATCATTCATTCCCATACACATTGTTTTTGCTACAGAATTATTTCCTAAAACTTGAGTGAAAGAGACGGTCGCTAGAGTTGAGGGTGTGCAGAATCGAATTGAGACCCAAAATAAACTGGGATGTGCCCCCTGAATACTTTGGCATGTACCTCTTTCGCTGACGTAACAATATACAGATACAATTTGTTAATGACCGAGGCATATTCACTTGAGTTGATAAGTGTTGTTCTGCGAATGTATAACGCGAGATTGTAAAAAGCGTTCCAGAACACTGTTGCGTCACAGAGCGCCATCTAGCGTCCTAGCGACAGAACAACAGTTCGACACGAAACACCGTACGGACAACACGCTAGCTCCTAAGCGTCCTCACGTACTTCAGTTTTCGCATTGCTAAATTTCCCTACCACTATGAGCCGAGTAGCAGACAAGTACCTTAGCGGCGTAGTTCACGTCCTGACGGTACTAAGTCTCACGAAGAGAGGGAAAACAGAAGAGAAGCCGAAGTTGAAAGTAACGGTGCACGCAGCAACTGCACTACTCAGGTTCATAAAAGCTATCGCTAACAGTGTTGCATGCATGAGCCTCGACCTATAGTTTTTAAATTGTAAATATCGACTTGTGTGTTCATTGTTGATGTTCTGATGTATTTATGTCTTTTTAAATGTATTCACTGTATTTTCCATGAATGTGATTATGTAATTTTAATGTTTAAGCCTTAGAAGACTAGCCCAGCAGGGCTAAAAGGCTTCGAAATAAATGAAATGAAATTGAAGAATATAAGATTCTGACCCAAAGTCCATGCTCACTAAAAACAAGACAAGTGTACAAAACAGTTGGTACTTTATTCATGACCCAAAACAAAAAGGCCATACTAACGTGTGATTATATACAAAGCGTAAATATAATGTGCACATCGTACATCGCCTATACAACAAGAAATCTGGCATATATAATAAGAGCAATTTACCAACACTTATACTGGAGGTATGTGTGTAAAAGATCTATCCTTGTTCCCTCTAAGATATAGTGGTATAGTCTTACCATCAAGTCTTACTAGTATAAGACACTTGGGCCTTAACACTTGGGCCTTAAAGAGAAAGGTGAAGATTGTGTCACAAGACCTGATTCTTGAGCACTGTTAAAACTATCAAAGAGCATAAATATAACTTGCAACATGTAACAGAATTTTTCCACTATGATTCTTTTCTATGCAGCTCCTTTGGCAAAAATTCTACATCTTATAAAAACACTAGCATGATCTAATTACATATGTTGGCCAATCGGCTAGTGTCTAGTACCAAAAAAGCCTTTTATGAAGTTAAGAATTATGCCAACTACAATTAGATACTTTCATTTCATATAAAATACAAATAGTTCATATTAGCAATAAAACATGAAGCTAAACAAGATAGTAAGGTACAATTTCCATACATTTCAAAAGTTTGACTGTGTTCTCGATAATCTTGGGTACATATTTTTACCTGAATATGATGCTATGTTTATCAAACAGCTATTTCAATACATGCATTAATAATTGTGACACAGTAGCAGGCCAAACTTTCATATTCTCAATAAAACAGAGCTGCTGTATACTTGGTTAGACATCATTTCTGGGGACACATCGAAATCTCTGTTCAGTCTACTCTTGCCATATTGGACATGTACAAGAATACAAGAGTGGTTTCTGCCGCCATTCTACCACACTTGGCTGTCTGACAAAATTTCTGCGCTCGGAAAAACAAGAATCGAGAGTTGACATCCCTATATTGGCAATTCCTTTCAAAGACTATCCCTACAACATTACAAATGAAAGGACTTCTTTCTTGACATCATTTTTAACACGTGATATGCACCAGTCACTGTTAACTGTAGGGTGCATAACTTGTTATTCCTAATGGGGTTGTTCCAGATTAGTTGAGATCAATGATGGCTACTTCAGTCTGATAGATAAAAAAACCATAGAAAAACCATGTCTGATGTTCTTACTACAGTAATTCCTCTAGAGTCTTGACAGTACTATGATACAATACTGATTAGGATGCTGGATTTCTCAGGTTTTGGAAGGCAAGCAATCTGGCAAGCCAATCTTTATAAAGACTGGACTGAAGCCATAGTAAAGCCAACAAACTTGCCAAAGTTAAACACTTGCCTAACTTTCATGCATGTCACAGTATTGCTAAATACCAGCTTGATATAAAATTGGGACACAAAAAGTATTGCTAAATACAAGTTTGGTATAAAAAAATTGGGCAGTTTTCTGAACCCAAAGCAGATTCAAAAGCCGAATCAATGGCACATATCACATAAATAATACTAACACAGTTGTGCAGTAGTCCTGTCTTGCTGTAGTTAACAAACAGTTACTGATAAATATACTTTGCTTACATAAACTACACTTAAAACAAAGGAAACCAGTCATGGCCTAAAAAAATGTCCTCGATTCAAATGTAGTTGAGAAAATAGCAACTACTTTTCTTTAAAATTTGTAGCTTAAATGCCAACCATGATTGTATGGTAGTCCCATCCACAATCACCTCTTCTTACAACTGAAAATAGCATTTATAAGTACATTGTTGGACATAGACCTTAAAATTTGCAACCCATCCCTAGTCAAAACTGTCTCATTTTACAGTCAATCCTATTCAATTGCTACAAATGAATGCTTCTACCAATACATTATTGTGTCCGACTATCATACTAGCTTCTTACAGAGCTTTCAGTTTCCCTCTTGACTGAATGACGAGAAGAATCATTGCCACTGCCAGAGTCCCAGGCACATGTACCTGGCCTTCTGGAGCAAACAAAATATGACAGGTCCTGTCATGGACATTTACGTCAAAAAAAGTTTAGGAAAAATGCACCCTGTGTCCTTATCTTATATCAGAGATGTAATCCGATTGGTTATCTCAACTCCAATCCAATCCACCGATGAGAACTTGGGTTCTGTATCAGAAATTAGTGCCACAATCTGATAGGTCTGTTATGAATCCATTCCACCAATCAGGGCTTCGTCCATCAGATCATCATCAATGTCACACGGGCTGGCATCAGGCTGTGATTGGTCAGAAGTGCCTTCGTACAGCAGATGGGATTGGTCGGGGTCAGACAGAGGGGAGGTGTTCTCAGCTTGAGAGTCTACTTCAGGGTCCATGGAATGGTCATGGTCTGGGGAATGAGTTGCAGGGGGGAGGGGGGCGCCCGTGTGTGCATTGGCAGCACCGGGCACGTCGATGACAAGGTTACCGTCCGGGCTGAGGGAGTGCAGATCGTCCTGACCGACGTTTCCCAGAGCCGGACCAGCTCCCGGGCTGTCCGTCTTCCCGTAGGGCTCCAGAACGGGGGGTTCCGGGTCCTGCACCTGGGTGGGGCTGGTCTCCTGGGGTGAGGAGCTGCTCTCGTCACCGTAGCTGACCAAGGAAGACAGCGCACCGGCGTTCAGCTGTGTCCCAGCAGTCAGGGCCGGCATGGCAGCGGCCGGACCTGGAGCTGGACCCTGTGACTCCGCCTGGGGCTTAGATTTTGATCGATTCTGGTTGCCGTGCCGTTCGTCCACAGTAGCGGATGACCTCTTTTTGCCACTCCTTTCCTCTTTGGTACCATTTGCAGCGGGATTCTGACCAGAGGATGAACTTTTGTCCTCGCCTCTCGACCGCGGCCGTTCTCCTGTGGTCTTACTTTCAGCAGACGTTGGACGGCTGCTGGAGTCTTCAGTTAGTTTCTCGGGTATGATGGACACGTCTTCTGAAGCTTCAGCTGTACTCCTAGCTGCGCCGTCTGATGCGCAAGCACCAGAGGACGTCTGCGGGTCGATTTCCTGAGGTTTGAGAAGAGGAGGCGGCGTCTCGGACGACTCGTCCTGCCGGGTTGTCTTAGGCGAGACGGACTTCTCTCTTCTTTCAGCCACGTGTTCACTTTTCATTCTATCGCTTGCGTTGGAAACAGTCCCATTTGTGATTGCAGCTGTTGTGGTTAGGGCCTTGACTGCTATTTCTGCCTTTGCTACAGTTACCACATTGGAAGACTTTGACTTGACTGCATCCTTAGTCGTTTTGACATCAGCCTTGATGGCTGGGACCTCTGGGATGCCATTTGAAGTGTGGCTGTAGGATACAGTGCTGACTTGCGGATTTTCCGCCGTGCTAGCCTGCGTGGTGGGGCTGACGTGAGCCGTGACCAGGACAACGCTGTCGTTGTCGGAGATGCTGCTAACGTGCACGCTGCTGGCGGTGTTCTTTAGCTTGTCTATCACGGCAGACAGAGAACCTTTCCGGGAACGGATGGGGGACTTGGAGTTGGATCGGGAGAGAGGTGGGGAGGACAAAGTTGCACGTGGGGACACGGTGGACTTCACCGTCGGAGATGTCACCGGCGCGGTGGAGATAACGAGAGGAGCTGGTCTGGTGGTGGTGTGGGACGTCTCCTGTGCCAGTTTAGGCAACGCAGCACTGGTCTTAGTCTTGCTAGAGCTAGAACTTTGCTTTGAGCTGGATTCCTTGGGAGCAGTGCTTGTTTTCGTGGAGGCAGAGGTGTTGGCAGAGGCTGTGACAAGTCCCGCGGAGGCAGCCTTGCTGCTAGCCGAGGACACAGAGGTGGATGATTTTGAAGAAGTTGATACCTTGGAGGCAGAAGATAACGCAACTTTGGAGGAGACATTTGCAGAGGAGGAAGAAGTGGTGGCCTGTGACTTGCTCGACTGACTGCTAACCAGTTTTGAACCTGATGTTGTACTTTTGGCACTGGCTGAAGGCTGTTTGAGAGTAGATGACGAGGTTTTAGAGCCTGAGCCTGGTGCTTTTGGCCCTGACACAAGTGGTTTGGATCCAGATGTCACCAGTTTGGGTGCAGAAGTGGACGTTTTTGGGCCAGGTGTTGCAGATTGAGTAACAGACTTGGAGACCGATGCTACAGGTTTTGAAGTGGGGCCAGGAACTTTGGGAATGGAGGATGCAACTTTGAGGCCTGATGACGACATTTTGGAACTAGGCATTACCGTTTTGGGGGTGCCAGTCACAGGTTTGGGTACTGGAGATACACTTTTTGGTCCAGATGTCACAGGTTTGGAAGTTGGGGTGGAAACTTTTGGTGATGATGAGACAGGTTTGGGACCGGACGTTGTTGGGGTGGATGCTCGAACCTGGTCAGCTCCTTTCGAAGAGGCGGTCTTGCTGGAACTGGATTTTGCTGACACTTTCTGTTTTTGCATTTCTCAAGGTGGCTGTGTAGGAGGAAGATGCGGAGGGATGTCTGCTGATGGTGATCATAATCCTCGATGGTTTGTCCTTGCTTGAGGACGACTTGCTTCCCGATCCTGACACCTGCAACTTGGACCGCGGGGACTGCCCGCCCTTGCTCCCGCCACTGCCTTCAGAGAGAGATTTGGACAGAGCTTTTGTTCTCATCGGACTTGCACTACCCGTCCCAGACAGGGGTTTGCCCCCACCCAGGCTGCCTGATTTCCCAATTGCTCCCACAGTCTTGGCCTGGAGGGACATGGCTGCCGGCTTGCCTCCAGAGCCTGATCGGGAGCTCTGCATGCTGGCCGGCGGAGTGTGGGACCGGGCAGTCTGCATGGTCATGGGGAGCTGAGAGGAGGCACCGGGCAGACTAGCTGGGGGAGTGTAAGACCTTGCCGGGGAGGTACTGTAGGGGGGAGTAAAGGTTTTAGAGACGGGAGGGGTGCGGGAACCATTGGGGCCGACACCGGCTGCTCGTGGGGGGGACACCCCTGCTTCCGACCTCCTTCTTTTGCTCCCTTTGTCCTTCTTGTCGCCGGCTCGACTTCTCTTGCTGCCACCTTCAGCTCCATTGCTGCCATCTGCAGAGCTTCTGCTGGAGCTTCTCCTCTTGGTGGGCTTGGTGGAGCCGTCACTGCGACTGCCCTCACTGTCAGACTTCCCGCTCTTGATGCTGGCCGTGTTGTTCCCCAGACTAACGGTGATCTTAAGACTCCCTGTGGACTGCTGGGTGATACTGGCTGAGGACGTCGCACCAGAAGAGCTGGGGACGGATGCTGCACTCGCAGCTGTTGAAGATGGGGGGGTTCACGGATGGGAGTTTGAGACTGGTGGAGAGATCTGTTGGCTCGAGCTGCTGCAGGGATGTGGAGGAAGAAGACTTCTGACTGGTGGAGAGGTCGGTGGGTTCGGTCTGCTGGTCCAACGGGGTGTGGTGTCCTGTGGAGAGGTCCAGGACCTCTGGGGTGGATGCTGCCGTCATGGACAAGTCAAGTCCCTGCAAGTCACTGCTGGAGTAAGGACCCTGGTCAAAAGAACTGGCGGAAAGCGCGGCTCCCACGTTGGAGGTCACACTTCCCACCGCTTCGTTACCCACTTCTGCCGCTGCCTGCGACTTTCCTGACACGTCCGAACTGCCCGCACCGGGAGTGGTGATTTTGGAGGCAACGGAGGATGGATTCAGTGCCAGTCCGAATGCGTTGGCGTCGCAGCTCTCAACATCCATGGACACGTTTCCTTCTGAACTTTCCTCGATGAGACTGTCCACAAAACTGGTATCCGTGGTGTTTAACACCTCTGTGTTAAATTCAATGGGCTCTGTTGGAAAGGTATAGTCTGTGTCGAGATGATCGGTCCCTGGTGTCGACTCGCCACCTACAAAATCAGCAGGGTCGAATGAGGCTTGGAGGTCACTCCCTTGAGCTACAGCACCTGCAGCTGTAAGGTCCTCCATCGAGCCGTCTGCTCTTATAAAGCCTGTAGCATCCAGAGGTGGCAAGTTTTCAGGGCCTAGACGGGAGTTTACAGCGTCTCGACTGCCTTGCCTTTTCAGCCTCTCGCTCTGCTCAGCAATGTCATTCAGCATCGCTGAGACTTCCGAGTCCTGGGTGAAGTCTTTCACTGCCTCCCCCCTCCCTGAAGGATCGAGAGAAGGCTTGAGCTGCATGGAATGTGAGGGTGGAGGTGGGAAGGCCCTGGCCGGGGACTGCACAGTGGGGGTAGAAGGGTGTGGGGTGGTGGGGGTGAGGTGGTCGGGCTGTAGGGTGGCGTCGTACGGAATGTTGCTATCAAAGTCCATGGCGTTCAGCTCCTTTGTGAATTCCTCCTCACTCTGCTGTCGTTTGGGCGACCTGTTGTCCGTTGTGGACTTCCGTTTCCTTTTGCGTTGTTTGGTCGGAGGAGGGGGTTCTGTCCCGCGGGGGGACATCTGCCCTGGCTGGGGGGGTACCCCCACCGGCTCCTTCAACAAGTTCATCAGCATCGGATGGCTCTTGGAGTGAGGGGGCCCTTGAATGCTCCCCTTCAGCAAGCTGGCCAGCATGGGGTTTTCCGATACTTTCGTGGCGTCCGTGTCCGTGAACTGCAGTTCGGCCTGCCCGCCTCTTCCCGTTGTCGTGGACGCGAGGGTGAAAGGTGAGACTGACGCCTGTCTGTACTGCGCAGCCGCTCCACCGAAATCATTGCCTTGAGAAGGGTCGACACCATTGAGATGCATTAGCAACGTTCCTCCCGCCTTCCCCCCTCCCCCACCGGGAGACGTTACTCCCAGTAAGTTCAGGTTGGCGTTGGACAACTTTTGCTCACTGCCATCCTTCACTGCCGCTATCTTAAGTCCAGAAGATGTAACCGCTGCAAAGTCGGAGAATCCGTGAGACATGACGATCCCTTCCGTTGCCTTGGACAGTGAGGACAGGATGCCGGGGGATGTGGTGTTGATCTGACGCTGCATCTCCTTGTGGTGGGCCACGGCATGGCGGGCGATGGCACGCATCAGCACAGGTATGGACAAGCATCTGCAAGAAGAAGATCGGAAGAAATGAGACTCATGACTGCCTAACGCTGTAATGCAAACTGTTGAATACAACTATCATTGAGAAAAAGTCAACACAATTTTCCTGGTGAATCTGAAACTAGATAGGTCTCACTGAGGCTAAACTTCGACGAAGACAGTTGAATCTGGCCTTAGCTCTAGTTTAGACTTTAATACAGTAAACAAATTAATGTCTGGCTGTGAGACTTCATGATACATGTAAGTGTATCAGTGCCACTGCATTGTAAGAAAAACTTCTGCAGTTCTTTCAAAAACAGCAAGGTGGCATTCTGGGCTACTGAGAACTGAGTGAATGTGTCAGGAGTTTTTCTGACCAGATACAGACCTGTTCATGACCATGGTGGCATACTCATCTGTGCAGACTGGGGCGTCGCCAGCAGGGATGTGAACTTTGCACTTCACATGGTTGGGGTCAGCAAGGTCGATTTCCACTGAAAACACACGAACATGTAACCATTAGTGAACAAAAGTCCTTCGAGACTTGAGACTTTATTCGAATTACCGACAGTGGTGGAATTCACACAATAACATACATGTAAGATATTTGTACGGAATGTAGTGCACAGAATTCACACAATAACATACATGTACAATACTCTGCTCACTTTATGTATCTTATTTCCTTTGGACTTTACTGTTAGTTTCTATACATCAGCTTTTCTGCTTATCTTTTTGTGCATTTGAACCAATGTTCTGTTTCATTCTAAATTATTTTCTATGATGAAGGCTAGTACAGTTAGAAAGAACAAACATTTCCAAGGACAATTCCAAGTCTATACTTTGAAGGTTGATCTCACACAAAATCAATCTGACAAAAAAAGTCTTACAGCAGGCCATGCTCTCCTGTACAGGGTGCTCGAAGGTGACAGAGATTCCCGTGGGTGATGTAGTATTCACTTCAAACAGCTGGGCATTCTCCTTGGCTGTAGAAGATGGTAAGTTTCATAACAAATAAATCAGATTTCCTTGCTATACATATGCTGGAGGACTAAGTCTTTTGTTTCTGCTACCAGGAATTGTAATTTAAAATGACTGCCAAATACGTAAATCAAATAAAAATGAAACAAATTGAAAGCAACAACACATCAAATATATCTCATACTTCCGTGCAATATTTGTGAATTGGTCAGAACTTCTTGTTTTATTCCTTTAATTGTGAACATGATCGATTTTGTGTATGCCTTTTCCCATTGCCTTCCTTAAGAAACTGAAGACCTTTTCTGGGACCTTAGACCTAACTTCCTGTCAGTGTCCCTATCATGCTTGAAACATCTACAGAAACACAAGCAGACATACACCAAAAGCAAAACCTCCATACACACCTTCCTCACAGCCCTTCCTGACACAGCTGGTGATGAGGGTGTTGTACACAGTCTGTTGTCGGAGGGCCTCCAGGACTCTTGGCACGCAGGCCGGGTGAGTGAAGGGGATCTTACTCACCAGAACTCCCCTCAGATCAGGGGAGTCGTTAATGTAGTAACAGTGGTGCTGGTCAGGCAGGGTCTGGGAACAGAAATGTTGAGAATGTACTGATGGTTTTCTGTACAAAGTTACAGTGATTGTGGCATTGTGGCACACTCTTCAGTAAAACCAATCAGAGGGGAGCAAGGGGCCAGTACCTGGCCTGAGCACATAGGCAGGCTTCAGGCAAGTTTTCATTGTATAATCAAGATGTAAAAGTATCAGTTAAAAGACAGAAAAAAAACCTCAAAATGTAGAATAATCATTCTTTATCTATGAAGTTCTTTGAGCAATTGGTCAAATCTTTGGTTGCTCAGCAGTCCCTCAGCCTCTAGTGGTCAGTGATGTAAGATGAAGTTTCTGTCTTACCACATGAAAGAGTTTGTTGCGGCCGTTGTTGTTGTCCATGTCAGCGATCCCCTTGGCTTCCATGACGTTCTGTGTGACCAGTCGGTTCATTGGCACTGCCTTGCTCTCATCTCCACACAATATACCTGTGCCGTGCGGAATACATTGTAGTTAAAGTTAGAATCTTTCCGGCACTTTCATGCAGTTAACCTCAGTTTCTAACATGTTTTGGCATGTTCCTGTCTCAAAGGCATCCAATGCAATTTCAGGGTGGCAAAATATCCTGGATGAGAAAATCTCTGATATTGACATTTACTGCCATTTCTTAGCACATTGATTTTCATCATCCTTTTATGCTTGAAATAGCCCAGAAACAAGGTACGTGAAGAGACACTTTATTTTCTAGTACTACTTATGAATAGCTAGAAGCAGCCTACGATACAAAACAAGCAACTGTTTCCGTCAGCGACATCCCATTTTTTCCTCATAGATATCTGTGTGCTATGGGATAGGGTTGATTTAAAGTTACTACATTTAACAAATGACCAGAAAATTGACTTTGAAAATTTACTGCTTTTTACAGTAATCAGTTGTCTATTTGTCTATTGTGGCCTTACAGAGGAAAAACATAGCTTGGCACGTCAGCTTTTCTAACCTGTAGCAGAGTGGATCCTCTTGATGGTTGAGAGAGACAGTGGGATGGGGGAGGGGGGCACCAGGGAGAAACAGGCTGGCAACAGCATCATGTTGTTGTTGTTGATTCCTGCAAAGGCTGGAGTCCTGCAACCAAAACAACAACTTGGTTCTACCTTTAACCTTCAGTCTACTAATTTAGCCTTTTTGCCACCAAATTCTTTAAGCAGTGAGGAGAAGACTGAGAAAAACTACCAAGATTTCACTCTGATGGACCATTCTCAGGAAATATATGCACGAGAACATTAGAAAATTTTTTTTACTGGACAAGGATATTTCAAAATTGTTTTTCATATTTCTGATTCTAAACCTTAAGTTAAGTTTAAAAAAAAAATTGTCAAAGTCATATGTGACCAGTGTTAGTTACAAATTAAAGAACCATACAGTTTAATGGCACCTGAGTGATTGATGAGTGAATTCTCCCTACCACATTGACACACCATTCTGAAACACATGATTAATTAGGAAAATTCTCCCTACCCCACAGACACACCTTAATCCTGAATCACCAGGATTGATTTGTGAATTCTCCCTACCCCACTGCCACACATTTCTGAATCACCACATGATTTTGAAGTGAATTCTCCCTACTAACCCTACTGACCCCTTGCTGTCATGTTGGGGTGGGTTGATCCCTGCGAACAGCGGCTGAGTCTGTAGCTTGTGCGACGTCGAACCCTCCAAGGCGACATTCAGCGACTGACCAACATCTCGAGGAACTGGCGCAAGGGGAAAACAATCTTTGTTTTATTTACATAATCGTATTCATAAACCTGCAAACATCAATTCGTGTTTACTTTTTGTCGGCTGTCACAAATATTACATGTATATATAACCTAGCTGGAAAGACAGTTACTGTAGTTTTATCCCAAATATTGGCAGTAACAGAACTTACCATGGTCACGGATAGTTTCGCTCTTGTCTCCCTCTACATTCAACATGTCGTAGGGGGAAATAAAGCACTTCAGCTGCATAGGGTGACCTGCATGAAACATCATGGAATATTCTATTTCATGAGTTTATAGAACAGTAAACGCATTTACCCTGGTGGTAGCTTTATTTTGCAGGAGGGAAAACAAGGTTTTGCAGAGTTTGAAGTTTATAACTGTTTATTATTTAGTTTGTTAAAGTAAGAAAATCAGCCTCGAAGCATGGGGTACATGTACAACAAGAACTACATGTATACAATGTATCCCCAATGCTATGATTCATGGTAACTGCAAAGTTCTTTTTCACAGAACAGTGTGAGAAGTTGGTCAACCCACCTCCTTGTCTTGGGATAACATATCCCACAATGCCTTTCTGTATCTGGGTCATGGGGTCACCCCTTCCTCCCAACATCCTGCTGTAAAAAAGAACAACATTCAACAAACTACATTATCATATTTTGTTATTATGTGATTGGACTTGCTTTATCTGTAATACATTTTAGATTCTTCTTTGGTATGTTCACTGTCTGTATATTATTTTTTTCTTGTTGTAAAATGATTTCTTCCTTCTGAAATGTTAGACATAATGTACAAAGCATGGGGAAGAGACAACCAAACCTAGATGCTATCAACTATGCATGTACCACCTAGCCTCCTACAATGCAGCTGGCTAACTGTAGGTTAGTAACTACTGTCTTGGAAATTGAAATAGTAGAAGTGGGTGAGGACAGTACAGATTAGGTTGAAATTTGATGAAATGAATTGTGACAATAAGTTCTCATACAGATACTGTAAATGCATTTACTTTTGCGACGGTTTAATTTTTGCAGTTTTCGTGGTGGGGAGATCACAACACTGCAAACATGAGGTTTGTATTTCTATTATAGAATTGTTTCAACTGTGAATGTCAAACACCACCGAAACTGCCATTTTTCCACAAAATAAAACCACAGTAAAAGTAAATACATTTGACAGTATTTTTCTTCTTTCCTATAGTGGTGACAGGCAACTCCACCAAAAAAACAAGTACAACCACACTGCTAGGATTCTCTCAGCTACACTACCAAGACCTACATTGTAATAGCATGCATGCCAAGACCTTCTAGCAACCACAAATATTTTACATGATGATCCAACCTGTCTGTCTCCCCTACACCCTCCTCATGGAATGCTTCACTGTAAGAGGAGGACATATAACAGATATGTACAGGAATGGGGAAAAGGCACAGTATGGGACAGACACAGTGGGCCAGGGATCTAGCCATTTCTAACCTCCGGAACCCTTTATTACATAAACGTCCTGCTATTATTATGTTTACCTTCGCAGAAGAAAAACATATAATTATTTTTGCTCAGTTTCATCTTCTTCTCCAAACCAATAAGGTCAATGACCTGAACCAGACATCTGTCACCATAGTAACTAGTGTTGGGTTACATTATGTTGCAAGTTTATAGTAGGAGGGATTTAGACTCCTGTCACCATATACATTAATGTGTTTGAGTAAGAATTAACAGAGCAGACCATATGCAAAGGTTAACATTATGTACTTGCTTTGCAAATAGTTCCTTTCCAGTTTGATCTAATTCTATTCTTATTCATATCAAACGTGCCAGTTTGGCCTGTCAATGACCATAACTTGGCCATAACTTGGGTCTGCTATGGACAACAAAATTCAGTGAAATAAAAGGCTAGCTAGTTACATGTAGTGGGTTGTTGGATGCAAGGGCAGAGACTTTATTATACTGTGCCAAAAACAGTTACTCAAGCAACTGGATATGATTTTGGAAACGGTCAGACGTTTCAGGTACCATCTACTACATTTTGTATCTTTCGTCAGTGACATAACTGTTTTTGACGTATCTTATTACCTGGATGTCTAACCTTCACCGATGTTTCACTATGTTGCTTTCAAGGACCATTATGTAAATTAAAGATGATGTAGAAAGTATATTTTCCTGTCATTTCTTTAAATAGTAAGTTGACCTAACCCTATAGAATTTCAGAGCAATATTGAGGGAGAGAAAACACAACATGGTAACTTTGCTCCATGAAAACATGTGTAAAAACCTTTCAATCCAACATCTGGCCAAGATATGAGAGCAGTTTTTATTTTGTGTAACAGGCTAGGTAGTGAAACACCCTGATGTACCATACAGTCAACTGGTAAGAAGACATAAACAAATAAAGCAGTCACAAGTAGCAAGCAGTAAAAAGTAACAAGTGTAGTCATTCTGAAGAAAAATGCTTTCCCACAATGCAATAGCACCAGAAGGGATCATGGGAAGAAAATGTGCAAAACTGGATGTAACTGTCATTCCCACAATGCAATAGCACCAAAGGGGATCATGGGAAGAAGGATGTGCAAAACTGGACGAAACTTTGACTCTTTATCTCTTTGAAAGCTTAGAAATGTTACTTACTTGTAGGCGTCGGCCATCTTGGTTAAATCACTCTCCATACACAGCAGTGTCTGGTATGTCCTCATCTTTATTTTACTGGGAAAAAAACGCAAATTTGCAATAATAGTTCCATTTTACAGAGTTTGAGTTGTATATATAGTCTTCTTTATGCATGCAAGAACTAATAGTTGTGTGCTGGGCACAAAGTCATCACAAAAAACACCATCTAAGGCCTCAAGGAAAAAATGTTATGTTTCCTGTTTCCCGGCTGACCCTAGAAAAAACTGCCTACCCTAGCCTTTTTTTTTGTGGACCCCTGCAAGGGACATAAATATTTTGTGCTGATTAATTTTTTGTAGCTCCATGATCTGACACCCGAGTGATGAAATGTTGTACAATTGGTTTTCCAACATTTGACGTTGAAAATAGTGTCCTCATGCAAGTGTTGCTGTATTGTGTAAGTTGGTTCACTAGAGATTGCCAGAGTCTAATAAAAAAGATAATTCATTCCTGCCGACCCTAATTTTTTCATGACTGAAACAGGAAACACAACATTTTTTTTCCTAGGCCTAGAATCTGCTCATTACCCACCATTATGGGTACTTGTGAAACCGAAGGACACTTGTCACTGGTAGTAGGAACTTTATTCAACTCATCAATGATGGGATAGGAGCCAATTTCTACCCCTCCAGACTTTCCAGCTCTATTCTTAGTTCAAATTAACATCTGCCAGGCCTAGGAAAAAATGTTGTGTTTCCTGTTTCAGTCCTGAAAAAATTAGGGTCGGTAGGTAGGGATTATCCTTTTTTTTTCTTTTTTTTACACTTCAGTGATATCTACATAGGAGTCCAACTTATACAATACAGCTTAACAAAGTAAAACTTGCATGAGGACAGTCACTTTGATTTTTTAGTGTCAATGTTAGAAAACCAATTGTAGATTTTATCACTAAGGTGTCAGATCATGGAGCTATAAAAGGTTGATCAGCTCGAAATTATGTCCCTTGCAGGGATCCACTCCCCAAAAAAGTCTATGGTCAGCAGTTTTTTCTAGAGTCCATCGGGAAACAAGAAACACATCATTTCTTTTCCTAGGCCCCAGGGACTTTCAAAATATGCAGTCAGCTCGTAATAACATCTAAATTTAGACCTAACCTAAGTGGTGAGCTGTTAAACTGTACAATCTACCAGCTTGAAGTATGTAAGTACAAATTGGGCCAAATCAGTTTAATATCTTGGTTGTAGGCTAGGCTTACCTGTCTCCAGGTATTCTGTAGATGTTCAGCAGCCCCTTTAAGTGGCCCACAAACTCCTTAAAGTCTCCGTTCCTAGAGGGAACAACAACATCACAGCAGCAATGTTAGAAGTATATGTCAATATTTTGGATGATTTAAAACAAAACTCAGCATGCTTTTGGCAACTTGTTACACTTAACCTTTGAACATCTAAACCTAAAAGCCTCTGTGAGAGTTATTGAATTTACAGTAAGGCCACATCAAGTAATATTAATGGATGACATCAGTGTGCACATGAATTTTTGCATGATTTTTGAAACTTTGAAATTTTGTTACCCTCTGAGAGTGGTCAACATGCCAAAAATGGGCAAAGATGTCTGTTCCCATGCCGGAACATGGATGGCAGATCTGTATCTGTTATGTTATAACCGCCCTTCGGCAAGGCCCTGATTTATTGTTTTATCTTTTACTTAATAATTGATGTTGTAATAGTTGCCAGTAAACTTAGCACAATATCTATCTTAGCACAACATCATTTCTTGTATAACAAGGTTTATGATGTCAAAATTTGAAAATGTAGGAAACTTGTTTTTTGGCCGGCCTTGTTTTTTTCCGCCCTATCACATTAGATTTGGAGTCTGCGAAGGATGTCATCCATAAAATTAAATTGCTGTGGTCTAATCATAGTTATTTACAGCTAACGTCTATGTTATGTTAGAGCATGTTTTGAAGTCTAAAAAAGTACTGTATCCCGACACATGGAAATGGAACAGTGCTTGGGTAAGAGATAACTTTAAGTCTGCAAAAGCCACAATGCCGTGAAACTATAATTTTATTGACTAAGCCTTACCTGAGAACTCTGAGCATCTCGGGACAGCTCTGTGCCTCGGAGCCGTGGTGGGCCACCCTGACGTCCTGTACGCGCCCGCTCGTGTCCAGTCTGATCTCCACGTAAAACAGCTCTGCACTGATGCAACATTCGTGCCCGCTCGAGCTGACCTTAAAGCCCAAGCTGTAAAAAAAAATTACATTAATATAGAACCATAATTCCCCACAGTCTTCACTACACACATTTTTTGTACTCATGTACCCTCTGTGACTGAACTACTTGGAACATACACAATTTTTATGACATTTGTTAACATTTTTTTTATTTCTAGTATTGCTATAACTTTTTTTGGATTTCAAGTATTACTTACAGATTTTATAAGATATCGCTTTGCAATGTTTTCATGATTTGTAATGTGCAATTTTTTAACAATTTGTAAATTGTCTGCAATTCAGCAACATCTTGAATCATTTTAAATCATTTTGAAGAGCTGTACAAAAAAAAATGTGTACGATTCCTTTGATACCCTTTCCAATATGTCCCTGTCTTTCTTTGTACAATTATATATGTATCCCATACTGTTGCGGCATATGAGAACAAATGACTTCTAACAGATTGTAACTCACCCCATTTGAAAAGTTGAATCAGATATGGCCTATAAAGTCTTAGAAAAAGGGTATTGAGTTTTTGCAAGAAAAAGCAAAGTTATGTGATTCTTTGTATGATGAACACTCACCCAACTTGTCTTGCAACAGAGTCCAGCCTTTCCACCATGGATGGCAGGGTTGTTACTGCAGAAAAACAAAACAAACATAAACATAGACCAAACAACAGAAAGGCAGACATTTGCTTGGGAGCAAATACAGCATATTTCAGTCCACTTCCCTCTCCTTCCAAAATGGGTTGTTCCATGTCAACCATTTCCATATGTAGTGCTCTTCAATATGGCACGTTTTAATACCCCCACATAGTCCCAAATATACAAACAGTAAAATATTCTCAAAACCCTCATATACTGTAAATCCATTTAAAAATGCGGTTGGAAATTATAGCGGTCGGCGAAAAATGGACAACCTCACGTCACTTAATTATAGCGGTGTGAACATGGCTGATGTGTGTAAAAAAATACATTAAAACGCTGGCCTTTTTTTTTAAGAAAGTTAAAAAAAGCAGTTTACGCCAGCGAAAATCGATTTTTACAAAGAAAAAACAAAACAGGCACGCCGATGGTGTCTGGAAGTAAATGATTTACAAAGTACTGTAGCGGCGCGGTGACTTCAAAAAGTTCGTAATTACGCCCGCTTGTGTTGCGTGCGGCACCGCCGCCCCCCTCCCCAAGCTCCATGCCGCTGCACGCCGCTACATGTCCGGCGCCGCAGACGAGCTTACAGCGAAACCCGGCGTCTTCGCCCTAGGATTGGAGCGTAATGAAATCCATGACGCCATCGAGAAAGTTCTACAGACACTATAGCCTTTAAACAGTAACGTTTAATCGTATTTTTTGCCGCAAAAGTTGACTCGCAATTTTCGAAAAACTTGTGACGCCATTTTTTTTCACTCGGCGCTTGGTTCCCGAATTTTCGATTCGTCTTAGTCGTAGCACGCTATTAACGCTTTTACATTTTGTAGTACAAATGACGCTTAACATTTGATTGTATTTCTACCTAGATTTCTACCTCGAAATTAAGCAGATTTATGCCGCATTTCTCGTAGTTTGTAACTCGTTTCTGAAGTTGGCCGCCATTTTGTTTGTTGTTGTCTGCACGCTTGGGCGACGCTGAATTTTGTAACTCGTCTCATTTTTTTCGATATTGTCCCGTACTAGCACAAAATGAACGGCTATCGTTTCTGTAAATTTATGAAGAAACTTCTAAATCGAAGTATACGCTAAATATTTATAAATACCCAAGTGTAGATAAGCTGGGAAATTTCAAAGCGTCACTGCGTCACATATGTTTGTGCATGTTCACAAGATTTTTTTTTACCGTGGTTTGCTTAGCACTGCATACTTGTTAAAAATATGAACTACTTTATGTTTAATAAATATTTTATTTCTGGAAGCACATCAGTGTTTTGCTTGTTCCTATGTGAAGCACTAGTACTGTGCGTTGTGTGCATGTTGTAGTCAAGAAATGAAGCGTGATTGCGATCGTACCGTAACGAGCTTGGGGCAAGAGGGAGGGGGGCTGAAGTGGTAAAAAAAGTTGCGATCATGAAAATTTAGCGGTGTAATAGTGACCGCTAAAACCGCTATAATTAAGTGACCGTTATCAAATCAAGAATTACAGTAGTGCTTTTCAGTAACAAGTATCTCAAAGCCGAAAAAGGATTTGAAATTGCGTTTTTAAAGGAAACCTAAAATTTGAACTCCCCTAGATTTGCAAGAACTCTCCCCCCAGGTTTGATCATGCGATCTGGGCTGATGGAAAAAAAATGAGCTGGCTAGAGCCCTGCATTATAATATAGAAAATGAAAGACACAAGCTAAAGATAACACATGAAGGAAATCAATAAGATGTCTCAATCTGACCTTTAAGTGCCTTCTGTAGGGCGTTGATGCACTTTCTCAGCCGGGAGTGGTCCATGTTGTCTACAGCCCTCTTGTCCTAAAAATAAACAAACAAACAAACAACTTCTTTAATACAGTTTAACAAAGTAAAACTTGCATGAGCACACTTCTAATTTTTCAAAGTCAATGTTGAAGAACTGATGGTACAACATTTCATCACTCAGATGAGCTAGAAAAGGTTTATCAACTTGAAAAATTTATGTCCCTTGCAGGGATCTACAAGAAAGGCTAAGGTCGGCAGTTTTTTCTAGGGTCGGTCGGGAAACAGAAAACACAACATATTTTTTTCCTAGGCCTAAAGTTTATCATCGTTCTACAGGCTGACCTTATTGAGAATCTCAGATTTGAAAAAAAAAGACATTTCTGACGTACGTTTAAGCTGGTCCAGACCATGGCACTGCGGACCAGTTTGCTGGTGTCGGACCATGACTTGATCTGGGCGCTCTTCGTCCGTAGCCGCTGCATCAGAGCTGACAGTTCTTCACTCTTCTCATCCTTACTTGAGGACAGCTTTCCTCCTAAACACATGACAGGAAAAAGGGTGTTTAGCAATAAAACAACATACAATTCATTGACACATGCAATAAAAAAACGGTCAGAACGTGTGTATGTAATCTAAATAAATAAAACTTTCTTGCAGAGTAAGAATAAAGAAAATTCTGCTCGCATTTCCTGTCTACTTTGCAATTATAGTGCACATGGGAGTGAACATAAGGAAAATTAAGTTGACTTTGAGTTAAACTTAAAGTCATACAAATTAAAAAAAAAACACAGGTTAGGACAGTTCATCTTCATTTCCGGACAACTGAAATTAATTTTTGGGACAGTGCTGGGACAATAGGAAGAAAGAGTTAATTTTGAGGCCTGCCCCAATGTTTGCTAGCAGCATGTTAATGCAGAGATAACAAGAAGAATGTTGTGAATCTAAGTCAGGACAACCATGGTACCATATCTGGGGTTCATACTAGAGGAAAAGACGTCTCTAGTGCCCATTACATACCAGAGAGACAGATAGGCTTGAGCTGAAGCCTGGACAAACTCTTGTACACCCATGTCCACTTACAATTCCAAGGTGGCTAAGGGTGACCCACAGGCGGGCACTGTACTGTTTTTTCAACCCTTACAATGAGCAAGAAAGCAAAACTGCTAGTACATTTTGTATCATGCTGCTTGCCAGTTGTGTTCTTATTAGCCATAGAGAAATTACTTTTGAAATCAAGGGTGGTTGGTCGGTTGGCTTTTGGCTATTACAAGTTATGGGTATGGTAGTATTGGTTTGGGTGGCTGTGGTTTAGCTGTGTCTGTTTCTCCAAACAGAGTAGGTTGACAGCTCATGGGTAGGTGAAGATTGACAGGCAGAATCATAAGAGGCCTCAGAGTCTGCCTCAGAGCGAGCATAGGGTAATTAAGAAAGATGGAATATTGTATATTTCCTAGCAGTCTGGAATCTATGATTTCTTGTTTTCAATGGAACAACACCACAGTGACTGTTGGCAACAAGAAATGCCATTTACATGTAGTACAGACAAAACCTTGCATAACTCTTATCTTTAAAAACAGACAATTTCCTGGGACTGCCAATGTTAATGGTTCTCTGAACCTGAAACAGGATATGCCTGTTTTCTTTTCTGACATTCAGCAAAGGCCTTTTAGCTGGATACAATCTGTTATGTACAGGCCAGATCAACCTGATGGTTTTACAATTCCCTTCTTTTCTTCAAATTTGCATTTAAAAAACCTGCTTTGGACTTCATTTTTGAGTGGGACAACTACCTTTTACCAATGCTAATGAAAAAAAGATTAATCAAAATTTGTCAAACAAGCTGCAAGTGCATACATATATATCCAAGCCACAGTATCATACAAGGAAACTAGGAAAGCCACCTGGGGGTCCAAAATCTAATTATTTTTCTTTCATAGGTCAATTCCTACCCACCTACCAAATTTCATGACAATCCACTTCCTCATAGCTTCCACAACACAAACATACATGTACATGTTTATCATGCATCCATTCATCCATATGCTACGGTAAGAAGCATGTCTGCATACCAATGTACTGAATGTCTTCAGACTCTGGGCTTGGTCAAAATGTCTGGGCCTGAAGCAAACATTAGGGTCTAATCTTCCCTAGCCAACAGAATTAGGTTTGACATTTCTCCCTAGCCAATAGGATTAGGTTTGACATTTCCCCCCAAGGCTAGCTAGGCAGATGTAGACATATTTTTGAGGTCACAGAATGAAAGTAGGACAAAAACAAACTACTGGCACAAGTACATGTTTGTTACCTGCAGTATGAAGAAAGCTGCTAGGGGTATACTGCTGCAGTTCACGTAGAACTCCTATATAGAAATTAGGTCCAGATCTTTTTCAAAACTCAACTTATATCAGTTATCTTGTTTGAGATAACCACAAACATAAGAAACCAACCAACCAACATGCAAGTACTGGTAAAATTCCCTGTGAGCATATAAACTCCTTCATGTAATCCTTGTATGCTCTCCAAGTAGATGTTAGGCTCCTTTTTGGCATTTTTAGGCACTTTGTTGGGCTTTCTATTTTGTCTGCCTTTCTTTGGGCACACTAGCTCTAATAACTTATCATAAAGCCCCAAAGCTAGCCTACCTTCCTAGCATCCTGGTCAGATTTCAGCTTTCTCACAAAAATTTAGAGAAGGTGGCTGAAATAAGAAAGTAGCAGGCGAGCCATGAAGGGGTCTGTAATGGAGACTACAATTTTTTCTTTAAAAAAAAGTAGGCGGTGCAAAAATTTGAGTAGGTTGTGATTTTCGCCTGTTACCAGCTTGTTTTGAGAAGGCTGGATTTCAAATGGGAGTAGCATAAAATGTCATTGATTCTTAGAACGGTGACTGATGACATGTGGAACGTAACACAGTCCTTGTTTTGAAAGGTCAGCCATGCTTCTTTAAGTTTTCACCTTGAATCTACACTATCAATTACCGACCTTTCTGTAAAAGGTTAGAGATAGGAAGATGATAAGAGCAGGGTTGGCCTTAAACAAATCATTTGGAAGGCAAAGAAAAATCCAAAACATGTTGCTGTGAGAGTTCAATTTTGCCGCAATATTTCACGACTGACATGTTTACTTTCAAAGCTGTAAAACATGTCTATGAACTTTTGATAACAAAAACAACACTAAAGAACAGATCCTGTATGTGTTCCTGTAGTGTTGGATGTATATGTAGGTTACACAATTCTAAGCAAGACTAAATAAACTTTTAAGAATCTGATATGCAGGTTTAGTTTGAGATTTGCCATTTCATATTGTTTATCATATCAGGACTGTAACGTTACTATGTGCACACAGTGCCCAGCCACATATACCAGTGAATACTTATGCATTGTACAGGCTTGGTACATTAAAATGCTCAAGACACAGGATGGCTACCTACTTATACTATCATTTAAGCATTCCCCCCTTTTTACTAAAGGCAATCACTGAACTGAACAACAAAAAATTTGACAAATTACTCTTATCACATTTCACAGACAAAGAACAAACTGTGTTTTGTCATCCTTTAAAATATATTTTTTCAGTGTGCATTATATTCCAGTCATAAGTTACCAAGAGTCACAAAAATTAATTGCCATCTTCGGGGTCTTATGCAATGAGAACAAGACTGTGGGACAGCGATATTTCCTGTATAAATAAATGATGTAACAGTATGGCACAGTGTGGCCACCTGCCTTCAGTAAAACTAATAAGCCTTATCTGGAATGAACGTTAAAACCAACAACTTTAATTCCAAACCTGTTAAATCCTGTTATCAAGACCAGACAGCTGCACATTTTCAACTTAACACAGTTTTCTGCATAACACATTCTTAGAAAAAACACCATACTGATCTTCTTACAGGGAAGTAAATAAATATTTTTACTGATATTTTCAAGACTTAAAAAAGAAAAGTCTGCTAGCTGGCTGAAGACCTTCTGTGTGATAGCTGATTCATAATTCTTCCCTGTAGTGTTACAGGGCTCAAAATACTGAGTGCATGTGCACCTTCGTGCACCCAAATTTGGAGCTGTGCACCCAATTTTTTTTCTGTGGGTGCACCAGTGTACCCAAGTGTTTTTTTGTAGGTTTATGTCAAGATGTTAAATTTAGAGTAGTACTAGTATTCAGCATATTCTTGACCATCTAAGTGTCAGAAAAATAGTAAAATCATTCTTGTAGTACTTGTCTTTAGAAACAAAACATAACTTAGTTTTCGCTGACATTCTGCTTATTTTATCTTATATGGTGCACCCACAGAAAATTTTGTGCACCTAATTTTTTAGGTTGGGTGCACCAGTACACCTATTCCCAAAAATGAATTTTGAGCCCTGCTGTTATGATATTTGCAAACATCTGGCATGAATTGGACCATAATTCTTCTGAGTTCTGTGTAAGGATTTCATAAACCACTCATGGCCACCTGTGCAACACCAGGGTTCAAAGTTCTGTTCTCAACCATGGTTCAACACTTCAGTTGCCAAATATTCTAAAATGATTAATATCCTGTACAAAATATGATATCAAATTTTGGCAAGTAGTTGACGTTGATTAATTTGTTGTCCTGGACTACAACATTTCCAGACAAAATTGTGGAAATCCTGATTTAAAGAAGAGTGAAAATGTGGATAAATATTATATGGGTTACAAGAGAACCTGTATATATATACTATTTGTCTGAAATGAAATGTTGCCTTACTAGTAGATGACTAGTAGGGGATCCTTGTTTCAAATGCTCAAAAACTACATCTTTCAATTCAAAATCTTTATTTTCTTCCATTTTGAATTATAGTATACAACTTCTATATTCTAAGAGGACATTTGACAACCAGTAATTCGACAGGAAAAAAGATCTTTCTCGTGTGCTAAAAAAAACCCATTGCAATTGTAATTCTAACCTCGTTAAATTCCATTAGGTGTATAAGGGCCGCTGTCAGGGGTCCCCTTCCCAATCCATCCCAGAAATTAAATGTGACGCCTCAGTAGCTGGAGCTATATCTCATTTAGTAAGAGTGAGCACAGCTCCATATTTGTCCTTCCCAGATTCAAAGATTCTACCCACCAGACTGACCTTAAATGCAAAAATCCTGAATTCATATTTGAGTAGAAAAAAAGCCAAGGTACATTTTTTGGAAAAGGATATCTGCAGATAAAAAGACCTCAAAATACAAACTTGTAACAGAATCACAGTAATTTAGCTGGATGCAAGCAATTAACTGAAAAGTGATCACAATATTTCTTCTTCAATTACACTAAAGAAATATCAGTTATTCACATATCAATAATTCCCTATGCTTTAGAGTCCTGATGAATCTATAACTTGCATAAAAGGGTTGGTCTTTATTTTTGTGTAACATAACACATAGACTTTAAAGGGCAAACCCTCACTGACACGCGACTTAAACCAACAACCTTAGGGTATATACTCTGGTAACTATATCAGTACAACAAGGCCACTGTACAGCTGAAAACCCAAATTGTCTCTTGAATTGAAGGAATATTTTTAACACAACTAGATTTTTCATATTCATAGCTCTTCAGATGAAGGTTTACTAAGTATTGTTTATATGAATTACTTTTATATAATAACGTAAATTATATAAGTAGACCAAAAATATATATAATCATAGCTGACTAACATTATGAATTTTGGCAGGCATGGAAACCATACTAAAACCACAATATTACATCTACTAGTCACTGCAATAGTATCATCAAACATATAATTTTCTGTAATGTGGTAATACCTTTACCAAAAGCACATTATGTGATAAAGGCTGATAACTGTAACAGGTGATAAATATGATTATAGCCAACATAACATGATCAGGCAATCTACATCACTGTAAAATTAAATTAATTTTTCACGTAAGTTTGTAGGGCTTAGATGTTGCCGCCCAGTGTAAATCAAGAGTTTGCAATGTCTTTGAGTTTGCTGTTGCAACTAGGATCTTCCAAATGAATCAAATAGCTCCTTGGTTGAAACAACTGTTGCAGAACTAAAATGGTACAAGACTAGCAAATAGTCCATGATGCAATGAGTTGTGGTCTGCCTCTCATTCTCAATCTCATAAAAAAACATTGTGAAATTTTCAAAATATACAGTATGCAATCTACATTTCAACAGGACAAAACAAAACATTATTTGCATCCAAATTGGAAAGGATTTTGTCAAGGTAACTTTCCTCATTTCACTTGTACAAACAAATTGTTAGGAATACACACGTGCATGTAAATGTATTTACTTCTATGGCTGTTTTCTTTCGGGGTATGACTATGAGGATGAGGGAAAAGTTTTTATTGCCCTGTTTAAAGTACGCAGTTACAAATTTTAATTGAAAAACAGAAATTACAAAAAAAAAGAGAACATACATTCAAGGTGAAGGTTAGACATCCTGGTAATAAGATATGCCAAAAAAAAAACAGTTACATATCAAGCAACTGGATATGATTTTTGAAACGGTCAGACGTTTCAGACATAAGAGAACACTGCAAAAAACATTCACAGCAAAAGTAAATGCATTTGCAGTACATACATACATACATGTATGCAATCTAATCTCAAGGGGGGTGCGGCATGCGTGTGTTACCTTCTCCAACTCAAACACATGCATGAAAGGAGGCACATTACAGAGAAGTGTAATTAATGTGCCTGGGATGAAAGAAGGGAAAGTGCATAACTGGGTTGCTCAGCTTGACACGATGTGTGGTACTAGTAGTTCAGGGCTCGAAATTCATTTCTGGGAAAAGGTGCACTGGTGCACCCAACCTAAACAATTGGGTGCACAATTTTTTTGGGGGTACACCATATGAAATAAAATAAGTAGAAGGTCAACTAATTATGTTTAATTTCAAAAGAAAAGTACTATAACAATGATTTCATTATTTTTCTGACACTTAAGATGTTAAGAATATGTTGTATATACTACTATACATTTAACCTCTAGAATGTAAATCTACAAAAACATGTGCACTGGTGCACCCAGAGAAAGACTGGGCGCACAACCAAATTTGGGTGCAATAAGGTGCACATGCACACAGTATTTCGAGCCCTGTGTAGTGTTAGGTGGTGGCAGACAAAGCTGTAGCAGACAGACAGTGGGTGTACACTGTACAGAGATTTGAATACTAAATTAGTGACTTTGCTGAGTAGTGACTGATTCTTATCTGGCTGAAAATGTCTCGGAAACAACGGATAGACAGGACTTATTTTTTGTTTTTGTTCAGAAAAATATAAGTTGTCTCAATTTGTCAGTGTGATATATATACAACATTATCTGTAATGAAGAATTATACATTTTCAATAAAATTAGTCTAAAGGTGTTCGCGATGTTACTTCTTTAATCTCTAAATTCTAATTAATATCTTCACAGTTATATGGCTGACTTCCAAATAATACATGCAATTGTCTGAATCAGTAGCTTTTCTCAAAATGTCATAAATTATCACACAATCCAGCTTGAAGACGGGGTTTTTACACTTCAATCAACAGCTGGGCAAAATCTAATTCATGAAGCCTAGTTATCATTTTCTACAGAAACCATAAGGCACAGACTAATATGGGTTGAGGGGGTTACGAAGATTATATGAATACTAAAACAGAAATAATTATTAACCTTGCTTCTATCAATAAATGCAATTCATTCCCTGTCTCCAAGTTGTACTTTTCAAAAGCTCAGCTTTGTAATTTTCTTCTTATGATCTATTTTAAAGCTGTAAGTTTTGTTTTAAATTTTCACCCTCCCCCCTTTAATCCTTCCTTGTTTATTCCCAGTCCCAAGCAACATGAGCCCTCACTGGGGACCAACCAACCTCTCCCTTCTGGCCACGCAAAACCCCTTCAGAGGGTAAACAAAGTCAACCAGCGTCAACAACAATTTCTCCCAAACAGTAAACAATCACGCAAAAATAACCAAAACGTCAGGCATAATTTTCCTCTGCCCAAAATTTACCCAAACTCGCCAACTTTGAACCAGACAACATACCAGAATACACTCTCACACTGGCGCCAAATAAATTTTTTACTTATTTCCGCTGGGTCCCAAGATTGGTTTTAGAATTCCAGCGACGTTTGGGAAGGGATCAAGCGATGCATATTCAGGGTAGAGCGGTAAAATGCTCGGAGACGCTCCGCGCTGGGACAAAGAGAAACCGCAAAAGCGGGGATAATTTTCCGAACAAAAACAATCCCGCTTTCGGGACGGGCCAAAATGGCTGTACGCAAAACAACTCTGTGCAGGGACGGAGTCCTCGCCAAAAACACCCCGAATCGGCGCTTTTAAAGCACCGCATGGAGAAATCTTCGCCTCACCTGAGATCTCAACAGCTTGGAACCTGCCCTGGCGTGCGAGGTGTAGGGTAAGGGAGAGGCTGGACTTCCCGAGGGGCGGGGAAAGCAGCCCGTGGGGAAGGCGCTGTTCGACCGCCGCCATCTTCCCTTTGCTGGTGGTGACGTCACTGCAGGGTCGGAGGTGCTCAGGTTGTCCGTCGCCAGGTGTCGTTGTCTTTGTCTGGGAAACTGACGAACTTTGATAGTTTTATTGATAACCACAATGATAACGGCGCCTTGAGTTATCAAATATAAAATCCTTGAATCAATTCAAGAAATAACGACAAATCTATAAGATATGTAATTTTGCACAATGAAAAGAAAATGTTATTTCATGGACGTCCGGACATAAGCTAGACTAGACCGAGAGATGGCCCAACATTGATTTATATGGTATATCAAATTATTCCCACTATTTACCCAATATCACTTTTACTTAGAATAGATAATAACATTAACAGTCATCAGGTGAAGATAAGCTCCTTGGGTGAAGCGTTTTTGAAGATGCAGCAAAAATCTGTTTAGTTTCTTCTTCTTCTTCTTTGTTGAGGAGGCCAACACATTGCCTCACTATGTTTGGAGAAACATACCGACCTATTTTGGTCGGTTGATAGACTATGCACTTTATACTACGCCATCATTATGCCCTTTTGAAAAACATTTCTAATATCACTTGGGACTTTTAAAGATTTTGCAGAACCGCCCTCTACTGAGCGGAATGAGAAGTGCAGGAAAATATCGGAACGCAAAGGATTGTGGGTAAGCGTCACTGCTCCGAATTTTACTTCCGCATTCTGCTGCAGCTTGTCGACTTGCAAACTTGGTGATCGTTCGCACTCCGCAAATTCTGTTAGAATGGCTTACCCAGGCTACCCAGGACAGCAAGCTGTAAGTCTAACTGCCGTGAGCTTTGTATACCACAATACCGTTCTGTACTTTTGCCGCTAAATGCGTCAAAAGAGGACAACTTAGCCGAACTATATGGAGTTTTGGAAAAAAAATTATGGGGAGGGTGGTTGAACAGGTGCACTAGGTGGTCGCTACATGTTTGCTTCAAAATGTGAAATGGAAAAGGATGTATCTCAATATAGCTTTACATAACGTGTATGTCAATCGTTTCTGCTATCTAATCGTGCCAAAGTATGACTTTTTAGGTTTAAATCCAATGATATATAATCATGGTTACGGGTAATAGCAAAGCACAAAGAAGGTGGGTGGGGCCACTAAAAGGGTGACAAACAAGGTCTTCTTCAGTTTCAGAAATTCGATACTCTGGCACAAAGGTTACTAGTATACTATAAGTTCTATTGAATTAGGAGCATATTTATCCTTGAATACGTTGCACTGATGGTTGGTAATAGTGTTACATGTAACTGAATGTTTCTTGACATGATGTGCAGAAGGGATGGCAAAACATGTGCCATGTTAATGATATTTTAATGCTGAAATTTTGGCTTTAAAGAAGTTGTGCTGCTCCTAAGGTCAACTAGTTATGGTACTGATGGTGATGAGGAAACAGTACCACTTCTTGTTTTTGCCATTGCAGCTATGTATGTTTCATTTCAGGAATTGAAAGTTGATTTGTTCTGCTTTTTTTCATGCAGCTTTATTATTTGTCAGTGGGTGCAGCATGGAGATCAAAATTATCCTTACCTGCCTTGTTGAAAATGAGTAACAGCTAGCCCATTGACTAAAATGAATGCAAAACAAACCACTTTTGCTTCAATTTTGCGTAGACTGGTAAATGTAACTGCATTCAGACAACCTTGCACAGTGAAGAAAACAGCAGGAATACTTGAATTTTCAGTTTTTTGGGTGTTTTTTGTGACCATCAACCTTTTGCGTAGAAGATTTTAAAATCAACATTACAATCCAGCCCACTTTACATGTATATGAAGCATAAAGTCCATTTTGACGACCTTTGTAATATTAGGTTATAATCTTTATTTCATCCCAGTTGTACTAAGTTGTAGCAGCTAATGTCAGTAAAAAATTACGGAAAAAAGCTTGCTGCCTAAATCCCACTCCACAATTCTCCCATTGGTAACCCTGACAATTTTTTTTTCTAAATTAGACATTTGATTTGACCCTGCCACGAAGCATCCATACACTTTCCAGCTTGTGTCCACTTCTCGGTGGTGGCTTTAGCAAGTGTAACAGTGGGCGGCATGGGAACCACTGTAAGAAACAGGATGAGCCAGTAAAAACCCTTCTGGTCCCGGGCCGGGGTTTGAACCCACGACCTCCCGGGCACCAGAGCTTCATAACCAGACGCTCTAACCGCTCAGCCGAAAAGGTCTAGACCCATTTGCCGGATCAGTTAGTAGCACCTATAAACCCCCCACTGTTACACAAGGAAGCAATCATTGGGAAATGCACTCAAGCTGGAAACTGGTGGATAACAGGCAGCCCCTTCCCATGATCCCTTGCTAATTAACTGCTGTACCCGTGCATGTCCACTGCTTACCGGACGTCTCGCGATGGCGTGGCGGTTAGGCCGGCGACCCTTTGTGGGGATACTTCGCGTCAGTGGGAGGACAGGTCAGTCGAGGTTAACTTTGCTCCCCCTGCTGTGACTGGTCAACTTCAGGTGGTTCTGAGCAATCTCACCTGGCTGAGAAACTGCCCCTTCCCTTAGGCATTGCCAAAAAATCACTCAAAGAGGTCAGGTGATTCAGTGTCTGAGGAACCTCACCTTTTTTTTAGCATTAGCATTGAAAATTTGCAATAAGATTATTGTTTTGCTTGATTTGGTCTATAGTATAATAAAAAAATTGTATATGGTTGATATCATCATTGAAACCAAGAAATTTAAAGCCATGGTCACATTGCTCCATGATCACTTGAAGTTTGACCAGCCCACCACTGACTAACCACTTTGACACAGTCTTTAATCCGATGTGTACTTTGTTGTTGTCTCCTCCGGGCATGCCCAGTATGGCCAGCCAGGTTATGGTGCGTATGGAGCGCCGCCAGCGCAGGACCCCATGTGGGGGTATTTCTCAGCTGTAGCAGGGCAGGTTTGTATCCACCAATGACTCCAAAACACTGGTCAACCTCATACATGCAAAGACATTTTATGAATCCCTACTAATTCTAGGGGGCCTGCAAACAGCAAATTACGCTATACGCAAAATGTGCCAATTACACTCTACGTTGAATTAGAGCGGTCTGTCTATGCTCTACGTAGAATTAAAACGGCCGATTACACTCTACGGAAAAGGCATGTGGCCCCCATTCTAGGCATCGTGTTCAAGCTCAAAGTACATTTTTTCTGCAGTAGAGTTTAATTTCTGTCATCATACAAGATTTGCTGTTTGGAAAGTTGGTATTAAAACTTGTCTTTGCAAATCTGACATGACCAGTGTTGAAACAACTTTCTCTTGCTGCGAGGTTCCGGAATTAAAAATATTCCTACATTTAACAAACAAACAAACAAACAAGCAAATAAATAAACAAACAAATAAACAAACAAGCAAGCAGACAAACAATAACTGTTTTAAGATTTATTAAGATGCTTTAAAAAAAAGTTACACAAATTTACACATAACAGGTGGTTTAACGGACAAAAGGCAGTGAGAGGAAGTTGTTCAAAAGCATTTTTCTATTTTGTCACTATACAATTATCAAAATTCATTCTTGTGATTTAGGAGATGTCAAGATGATAAGATACAAGTGTTATACTCTTACAAACCACAGCTTTGTTTCTTCCTTATATCATTAACATCACTATACCTCTGTATATTAGTGATTCCTATGAAAAGTTGACATGGGGGTGCTTATAGAATTCATTGCTTTAGCTAAAATAAATGTTTCATAAATAATCAACATATTTGCATCTTTTTTGACTCTTCTGATTTTCAAGACAAAATTGCTGCCCCCCCAACAACCTTTCTAATGGAATGCTCCTTGGTCAATTTAACCTTCTCCCTACTGGAGTAGCCTGTTGGCCTAGCCTCCGTAGCAGGCTTATAGAACTGGGAGTTTGGTGGTCTTCGGCTGTTTTCTGGTCAGCAAAAACGGGGGTACTAGTAATTCAATCAGGCCGGCTATGTTGTCTATATGCAATCAGAAAATAGCACATAAAAGCTCCCAAAGACCCTGAAGACCCCCAAAACTCCCAGTTTTTGGCATGCTATGGCGGCAACTGTTGGCCCCATACCTTTGCAATGGCTACAGTTAGCAGGGTGAAGGTTAATAAGGGCTATCACAGCTTAACAGTAAGGGTGTCTGTCTTACTCCTCCTTTTGTTCTTCCCTCATTCATTACATTCTAATCAGGAGGTGAGTTGTATGCAAAAATTCCCTGCTTCTGCATGGCATCTGTCGAACACGAACTGATGTTAAAAAATCTTGAAAGACAAATTAAAGAAGATGGAATCCATTTGCCAAAGCTTTGCTACATACATGTATGCATGATCTGTTGTAAAATGTGTTTGTTTTGTGTGCTGTTTTAATAAAGTGTGGTTTGTACACAAATGCAATTATATATTCAATTTCATTGTAAAAAAAGCCATTTGTTTTGATAATTTTCTAGCTACATGAATCACTCTACCCAAAAAAGTATTTCAGTAAAAAAACATTGTATTTGTATTAACTGGCATTTTGTCTCTTAAATTACAGTCATTGACCAATATATTTTCCAAAAAAAAAAAAACTGAATGAAGGACAATGATTCAATGAGAGACCCCATATTTCCTGTCTAGCTGTGTGTATCAAAAATCCTCAGCTACCATCTCTAACCTCTAACATCTTCTAAGCTAATGATTTTATTTTGTAGTAACTGTTATGATAATTCCTTAGTTTAGTACATTGTAAATGTTTAGTCCGTAGGTCTAAACTAATGTGTTACTAATTATATAACTGTCCATTGTAGGATGGGCAGATTGATCCAATGGAGTTGCAGCAGTGCCTGACCAACTCTGGTTTCAGTGGGACTTACCAGCGTAAGATCAATTCTTCCTCTATCACATTTAATGTTCATTGTTTATTTACCAGTACTATAGTGTAGATTCATCTAATAGTGATGCCATTCTTGTGACAGATTCAAAAACAATTTAATAAGTGCCATCTTTTACTACACAAGATTAACATGCTAGTACGTGTATTACTAAGTCTTGTGTTGCATCTTTTAAGCTTCAGTATAATGAAATTGTTGATCATGTTTTTGATATCCAGTGCTTATCTATGGCCACTTTTCTTCACCTATCATGTTGTCAAAAGTAGCAGGTTGATAAAAAAGGCAAAAACAGGATATATATTTTTTGTCATTCTTGTCATTGCAGCCTTCAGCCTGGAGACCTGTCGTGTAATGATAGCCATGCTGGACGTATCCTTTCAATTTACTCACTCACTCACTCACTCAAGGCCGCATGCTTCCATGGGGAGCGTAGCGCCTCGGCATATGGATCTCCAGGTGGTTCTGTCCTGGGCTGCCTCCCACGCAGTGTCGAGGTTGAGGGAGACAGTCAGAAGATCATCCTTCAGTTGATCGCACCAGGTTCGTCGTGGGCGGCCTCTGGGACGGGACCATGTAGTGGGGGCCGGCTCTCTCAGTAGAGCAGCAGGCTCCAGGGGGGGCACCGCCCGGGCAATATGGCCAAAGAGCCGGAGCCTGGCCAGCCGTATCTTACTGGTCAGGGGAGGCTGTTTGGTGATGTCACGCAGGGTGGCGTTGGATACTCGATCAAACCACCTGATGCCGAGCAGTCTTCTAAGGCATCTGGTGTCGAAGGCGTTAACACGGAGTTCATGGGTGGCTGTTAACGTCCACGTCTCAGCGTTGTACATAAGGATGGATAGTACCAAGCTGTTGTAGAGCCTGAGTTTAGTCTGTAGTGAGAGCTTCCGGTTGCTCCAGACGTTGTCCAGGCTAGCCATCGCAGCGGAGGCACGGCCGATGCGGAGATGGATATCGGCGTCGCTCCTGCAGTCCGTGGTGATTGTGCCGCCGAGGTACGAGAACCGCTCTACAGATTCAACCTGGCGGACGTTGATCACAGGACCCGAGCGGGGGGCCTCGAAGTCACTAAGGCACTGTACCTTAGTCTTTTCCCAACTGACCATCAGCCCAAGTGGTTGGGTTTCCGTGTCCATGGCCTGTAGGGCAAGTTGGAGGACTTCGAGTACCTCGGCCAAGATTGCCACATCATCGGCAAAATCCAGGTCTGTGACGGTGAGATCACCAAAGCTGACACCGCAGTTGCACTGCTCCACAGTTCTCCCCATGACGTGGTCTATCGCAACGTTAAAGATGGTTGGGGCTAACACACAGCCCTGTCGGACGCCGCTTTTGATGACGAAGCTGTCAGAGAGTAGACCGTTTACTTTCACACGGGAGGACGTGTTAGAGTACAGTAGAGAGAGCAGGTGCACCAGCTTGGCAGGGACACCTAGGGCCTTGAGTAGAAGCCAGAGAGCATTCCTGTCCACGGAGTCGAAAGCCTGTTTCAATTTCAATTTACAGTCAAATCTAATTCACAGATAAGTAATAGAGCAACTGTCTGTTTGTAGATCAAGATGAAAGTTTTTGGGACAGTCCAGATAATGTAATTATAAAAGATAGGTCAAAAGATGGACAAAGCTCACTTCAACAGTTTTTAAGGTATCAATATTTTCTGTCTTTGGAAACTGTAAGTAAAGTCAGATAACTAAGGGAGCTTGCAAGATGCATTGGAAATGAAAACAGACTGAAGGCAATTTCTCATTTCAACCAGTGAAGATGCAGAATGAAAACTGTGGACTGTCCCGACATTATCGTGAAACAATCTTTTCTGTAGAAGATCCCCCTTTAATGGGGGCCCGCAAGCCCTTTTCCGTAGAGCGTAATCGGCCGTTTTAATTCTACGTAGAGCGTAGACGGACCGCTCTAATATTTTTGCGTAGAGCGTATTCGGCGTTTTAATTCTACGTAATGCGTTGTAGCCACTTGGAATTTAATGTACAGCATAATCGAGAGGTTTCCGAATTCAGCGTAGAGCGTTGTCGGGACCCCCCCTTGCAGGCCCTCTTTAATTATGAACATGTTCCAACACACCAATACTGATTGGTACATTAATTGCTGAAAGTGAACATTACAAATCAGAGCTTCCTTGACATTTCCTTCAGCGTGATTTCAGTGGGAAGATGGGGTTCAATGAGTTCAAGGAGCTGTGGGCAGCTCTGAATGGATGGCGTACCATCTACATGCAGTATGACATGGACCGGACTGGCTTCATCAATGCTCAGGAACTGGCCACCTGTGTCCATGGGATGGGTGGGTGTTTTAACCTTGTATGGAGGTTTAGTTTTTATCATGAAAGTTCATCTGTGTTGGTAGTTACATGTTTACAGTTAAAACTTTTGATCCAACACAAAGTTCTAGGTGAGAGAACTTCTTTGTGTTGGATCTAAATTTGTACCTCCAAACAGATTTTGTTTTTGTTGCTTTCATTTTGCTTTTGTGTCCATATTTACTAGTATTTGAATACAGTAGAGTCACAGGAAGTGAGGGGGAAATGGCATAACCGCAGACTGACGGGAAGGTCGAATTGGTAGCAACTGAAATCTCACAGTTACACTGTTGTACCATGACATGTTATTTCCTGCTACATGGTTGTTGCATCCTACTAATATTTTAATCATCCATGTACTTTCAGGATACAACCTAAATCCCCAGACTATAAACGTGCTGATGAAGAGGTACAACAAGAACGGGCAGATCACTTTTGACGACTTTGTTGCCTGCGCTGTGCGTCTCAGGGCCCTCACAGGTCTGTGGACAGAGTTTTGCTTTTGGCTTTTTAATCAGTAGTAAGTTGTATTTAGAATATGTAAATGTAGGTAGCTGACAGTGGGATGCACTATGGATAAATGTCAAAGTTTAAGGCCCCTATTAAACCATGTGCCAGGGGCTACTAGTATCACATCAATGTTTATTGACAACACATCACATCGCACATGCACACCTTGAGTTGCGTACTAGATTATAGCTGTTTCTCTTACATAGTGTTCTAGCCAGCATCCATTTTTCCATTGTTTGACAGAATTTTGATGCTCATGATGGGTAAATATTTTGCCCAATCTGTCATCTTTGACAGACGAAAATCGGCTTGCAAAGATATGGAAAGAGATATGTAAGAAAAGTTAGCTCCTCAAAATGCAGGAAATACCAGCATTAGAATGCGAAGCAAAACTGAGATGACAATAAAAAATTCCATGCTGCCTAGAACACTGCTTACCTGCTGCTAATGTTGTCTGTTTCCCATTCCAGATGCGTTCCGTCGACGTGACCAGGCCCAGCAGGGAATGTGTACGTTCCAGTACGATGATGTAAGATATGGAAATTAATGTGTATATTCACGGGCAGCGCAAAAACTGCAAAAATGAAATTAATGTAGTCATCTCAAGATTTACAGCATACATATTTATAAGCAACATATCAGTGATTTATTTGTAACATGCTTACAAGAATGTTAAGTCAAATACTATGCACAAATAATCTGACCTATATTATATATTTTACAGTTTCTGCAGTGTACTCTGTGTATCTAAGGAAAAGAGACAACTGCCAAGTCAAGAAGAGATGCAACGTTTTGCCTCTGTCCACAGCTTGCTAGGTTAATTAGCTTTATTAAACTGCTGTAGAATAATTATATTGTAAGCCAGTGATGTTCGATGTTGGTGACTAATAAGTTTGGAATGACTCAATGGTCCTTTTGTGTCACATGACAAGAAACACATCACTGATTGGTGGAGTCATATTCAAAATGTAGTTTGCACAAATGTGAAGTGAAATTGAAGGAAACATACATGGAAGGTATTAATATCGGCCAGTTTCAGACAATAATTATGGACTTCAACTTAAAAAATTCTCCCATGACGGACCGCTTTTGGCGCAAGAAATTTATTTCTAACCTTATTGGTATCAACATGATATTTAGCCAAGACTAACTTAATGCATTTTGGGATGGCCTACTTTTACAAGATTTTGGTAGGCAAGTAGGTTTTAAACATTCAGAATTCTACATATTATATCATGGCAGCTTTGTCACTCCCATGCCAGGTACAGATAAAAACTATCATATTAAGTATTTTTTGTCAGTATATCATTGTGGAGAGTAAAATACATGTAGGTGTTACAAGATTTGTGTTAAGTGTCAAAACTTTTCGACAATGTGTCCTGGCAACTTCAGAAACATATGAGGACACCAATATGTAAAACAGTGTCAGTGAGTTAGTGAAGATACATAAAAGTTTGTTGGATGTACACTTTCAGGTTCACCAGAAGTTAAGGTACAAATGTGCCCATGCATAGTAATAGTAATCTACTGTTTTAACATGTGCCCGAACATGTCTTTCTCTGAATTTATCACCATATGATTGTATTCTTTGTTCTTGACTCTAGTGACTGTAGCTTTTTTATCAGGAAATGCAAGGAAGTATCTTATGTAGGTCTATGAAATATAGTATTGTCATATAGTTGGTTGATTACATAGCCCTATGTTTGTCTTCTTATTAAGCTTTGTAGTGGACATTAGAATAAAACTCCAAGCAGATCTGGGATTCTGCTTATGTCTTACTAAGTGTAACCCTGCATCTGCTTGGAGATCAAAACAAGACAGCATCTAGGATACTGGATTGTTGTTTTCTACCATGAACACATCTTTGATGAAAATTTTGGCACAGGAAGATTGCATTAAAATGGAAGAAGATGAAGGCTTACAGTTCACTGGGTGATATTGAAGAGACAACAGTTATGTAGACATTGTACTTTTAGCCAATGGTAGCTGGTGTTACATTGCAAGTTGTTGAAAGCTAGACTTTGGTCCCTACCTGTGGAATCATGAATGTAATTGGCTGATTTCTTGGTTGGATTCTTGTCAAAATCATTGCAACTTGCTTCACTGGATACAGGAAACTACACAGATTAGGTTAATAAAGTGGAGTCCATCATGGATGTGTGAATCTGAGTGAGTTACCTGTGTATTGCATAGACACTATTTGAGAAAATGTACAATATCATCGGAGATTATGAATTCCTAATTTAAAAAGAAATGGATTGGTTCCCCTAGCCTGGTTACCAGACCTATCTTAGCTGCCGGATCTCTTTTATCGTATTTGTGGAGAGGACAAGTGGCTGAAATAAGTTTGGTATCCTGGCTATGGTTCCCCAGAATCTTTCCCAGACGGTATTCTGCAGTTCTACTTCATTCCAGAAGGAGGCGGTGGTGCACCAAACGCAGATTGTCATGTTAAGTCATCAGTCATAAAATGCGAACGAATGATTACATTTTGATAAACTTTAATTTCACACTGTTAAATACATTATTATATAAACTCTTTTTCTGTTGAAGAAGTATACAGTGAATTGATAGCATGCAAGACTCATGCAACATGTATACACAAAGCATTGCTAACAATATGTAGAACTAGATTTTACATATTTTACTGTCCCATAATCATCATTTCTTCTTCATTTCCTTCTTTGCTGGTAATAACCTTATACTATCTTGTTACTACTAGTATGTGAAGCAAACAGTTGTTGGCATATGCGCATACAAATCTGCAATAAATAATATATATATACCCGTTAGTAATACAAGCCAAAAATTCAAGTCAGACTTTTCAACATTTTGGCCGTGGCAGGCAGTGTTTAAACATACCTTAATAAATTAGGTATTAGCCTTTCTGCAAAGCTTTCTGAAGCAAAATTATGTCTTCATTAACAAATTAATGAACATCTTTTAGTTTACTGTGTCTGTGATTGTACATTCTATTGAGGAATTTGAAGCGTCAGAATTTGTTCGATCAAGCCATCCTCCCATCCAATGGCTCTTAGGATCTCCGCACATCTTCTTTGAAATGACAGGAACACGATCTCTTGTCTCCTCCTCTGCTCATCTTCTGGAGACAACCCGGTCAGACCAGTTCCCTCAGAGCTGCCTCCTGATTGGTCGGTTTGAAGCTGCATCATTTGCATCTCCAGGGCCAGGTCGTCAGCCATGCCTGATGCACCATGGGATTGCGAGTCTAGCCCTGTGTTCTCCACGGAGGACAGCTCCATGATCAGCAGCTTGATTGCACTCACGATCTGATCGCTAAACGCGGTGCCTTCCTTCGCCATGTGGTATGTCAGAAGACCACTGAAAAACAAGAGTCAACAGATCAATGTCATATTTTATCATCTAATCAACAGAAAACAGCTGCATAAATAGCCTTGACACACATATGATTAGCTAACAATTATTATTTTCTTCCTGTCAGACTTTTGAACATACCTTTCTGGCCTAGAGTTTGTATCTGTCTTTATTTGGGACTCACACATACATGTACTTTGGTGAGACAACTTGGTAGCTGCTTTGACTTGATTCTAATTTAAACTAAAGGTTGATTTCAAGGGAGCCCAGTACACATGTATATACACAACAAAACATGTCACAATCAGTGTGGTGGAGAAAAATATGAATGACATTCAATAGTACGGTTCCAATTTCAAAATTAATACAGATCAAAAGTTGAAGTGGAGGTCAAAAAGTTACATGTCATTGTGGCATGCTGCATTGGACTAGGTGTAAAAGCTGCATTGCAAGGCTGTGTTATGTGTAACTCTCAGGTTGATGCATGCCTTATGTGTATTTATATGCAGCTGAGTTCTTGTGCTGGTAACAATAGAATGTGAAACGTGAAGTATTCACCAAAGAAGCCCCCTGAGTCTTGCGAGCTGCAGAGTTTGGCCGACCCCCTCACTGTACCCCCTGTTGAACCCCTCCTGGAGGGAGGACAGTCGTCCGTCTGACATCCCATCTCGGTAGCCTTGCTGTGAGGGCAAGAAACAAATAATGATGTCTGTGAAATTATTAGTGGTAGAACAAATGAGAAATATTGGATGGTGGCATCATTTTAGTGCTTTTTATGAAAAAGGGCAAACCGTTATGTGATTGGTCATTTGTTGTTAAAAATTAAATGATATAACTGTTATAGTATATGTGTGATCAGAGTTCCTGTTGATAGAGACTACAATCATGATCTCTAGAATGATTGTCGCTTATTTTAACATGTCCTTAACCCTTGTCCTGCTGACATTCCTGGCACAATATTTTTCAATAATTTCATGTCTTAATTAGATCATAGACCCCCAAATTTTTTTTGCCCTGCAGTGGCATAGTTACTTCCGCATTCGTTGCGTTTCGGTGCGGTGTGATGCGTTGCACGAGAAATATCCCCAGGGTGCTATATAGATGGTACTGTATGTGCAGAACGACAAATTTTGCGCTCTGCAGGACAAGGGTTAACATGGAGTCTTTACCCTGACTAGATTTGTATGTAACATAATTATGCAACACTAGGAATGTCAGATTTCCAAAAAGGAAACACATGTTACATCTAATACGACCACAAGTCAGTTATATAAGTCAAGGCCTGAAACAATTACATCATGCAGATGCTAGAAATGATATCAGTCATGCAGCAGTAGACTAATTGTCGTGAATGGCATTGAAATATATAGCTAGCAGACTACACATTCTTTTATGCCCCCCTCCCCCTTCACGAAATACTGACTTTTACACGCGATTCTTTCATCCTCTCAAAGTCTCTGGCCCGAACCACGTCCTCTCCAGTTTCTTCATCGAATACATCATCCATTTGGCTGTCTTCTGGAAAAGCAGAAGCCATATTGAGGCATAGGACGAAATAAATTGAAGAAAAAGAAAATTTTTAATTTTTTAGGGGGCGGCCATATTGGAAACGTCATTTGATCACGTGGTATTATTTTCTTCTCTGCATATTCATCATCTGTTGAATACTCATGCTTCCTACACTGGCCTGCAATCGGTCGTGTGTTCAAATCTGTTGAAAAGAGATTGCTTTTCATAAACTGTAAGTTTCAAAAACAAGTTAAAAACGTAAACACACCTGGTCACGTGATCAACGTACTATCACTTACGAGGCTATGAATGTAGTTTTCCTGAGTATCTTTTCGTCGTGAAATTTTATCACCTCCGGTAAAGGGTTGATAACCCGTTCCACCTCCTGTATGGTAAATAGTTCTTTCTAGGTAGATATTGGGTCTTTTTATCGAGTTTTACCGACAAATTGGAAGGAAAAAAATAAAGGAGTATCCAGGAAAACTTCATGAAGACCCCTAGCAGACCTCCTAATCGAGGACACCCCCAGGACAGACGTTGCCATCGTAGCGAGTTATGCTTCATGCCGAGTCCACCGTCATCTCACCAAACCCGGCGCTACAGCCGGTTCCAGCCATATCCCTGCTTTTCCCTGCAAGGGGAAGGGTGTTAGGTGTATAGAAATCCGACGAATATTGTGGCGGCCAGATTTTTCAGTCGTTGGGTGGGGCGCGACGGAGAACAAAGTGGGACCGACACAAGTGATTTCCTAGCGGTACGGTGTGGGGGGACTAGTGGACTGCACACCCGGTACTGCTTCCCTCGACCACCCCGGACGTGTGGGGACACCTCCCGCGTACTTCTAACGAAACAGGCTCGTAGAAGCTCCGTGGACTACTGTCAGGACACATGCACGAGAGGAAAAGGTTCGGAGACACCGTAAGGACCATCAGAATTTCTCCCGGACCCAGCACGGTATGAGGACCGCCCAGAAAACTGCTGAACACGCACGATAAAGACCGTTATAATACATCCCGGATATCCACAACTTGTAGCGGAATCATATTGAAACATGGAAGCCCCCGTTGTACCAAGGTAAGCCAATCTATTGTTAAAAAGAAAAAAAAATGTAGGACAGGATATTGCGGATGGTGCAAAGAATTGTAGGAATGCGGCATTGTGGTGTTGACAATAATGTACAGGTGTTCCGGTATACCGTTACCTGAGTGGCCAAGTTCACTCTCGACAGGTGTTTTATTTGTGATCACCTGTCTCAAGACTCTCAACTCATCCTTTAAGACATACATCAAGACTCCAGGTGCGACTTAAGTTTGAAAGCTTACACTGGTCAAGATCGAGACTTGTAAGCTTGTCAATTTCAAACACAACAACAAGTTTGAAATGAATTGTTGCAGGATAACGTTACAGTTATTTATATGTGATACTTGATACCTTAGTGGTAAACCCCTTCTTACGTCTCCCATCTTGTGTTCCTTAGCTTCAACCTTAATGAAAGATAAACCTTAAATCTGGTCTAACTCAAACAAATTTAATCATGAATAGTTATGGCCTTGGGTACGTGTTAAGGTATGTGGGTGGGGTTTGATATAAAGTTTGCCTCAGGTAGCCTGGGTGCCATTCTGGTAACTGTTACATGGTTGTTTTACCGCGGCTTGCAAAGAAGCGAGTATGGGAACTACGGTAAACCAACTCACATGGCACCCAGGCAATGCCTTCACAGCTGTCACAGTTGAAAAGTGACATATAAACGTTATAATATCCAAGCCCTATAACCCTGTGATTATCAAAAGTCATATCTACATGAACATTTGTACTGTAGCAGAATGTTAGGATCGATGAGCGAGTTGAGTGGGGGAGTTCCCCTGGTCAAGTACAGGAAGTCAACATATGTAGCACGTCATAAATACAGGATGTGTATTCTCTGTATCTATTAGTGGTTAACCATTACCATTATGTACATGCAAGTACAACCAACGAGGTTAAAGGTTTATACTTGATACAACAGAGGCTACTTTTTTTTTAGATGATTTTTTAAACATTATAACATTATCTGTCAGGCTCCTGCTAGTCTGATATTTGCTATTTTGATACAGGTACTATGTTCATAGATAGGTTATGAAAAGTGGGTTAGGTTGCTAACTGTAAGTGCATTTTACGTCATCTTGAGAAAATTGCCACACCTTTGACCTTTGTACTTAAGTTAATGGGATCTGGGTTTGTACTTCTTTTGTCCTTTCAAAGTTACTGCAGCGACCGTAACATTTACATGATTTACATTGATTTTGGTTGATGTCATGCATCATTTGCTGTAGCCCAAATAATGTCACATACCAGGTAGTAGCTGTGTGTGGCTAGTACATACATTTGTTAGTACGATGCGACTTTTCTTCACATGAAATACTCTTTTCAAAACCAACCTTTTTTCAGCTACCAGTAGCACTGCCAGATCCTTTACCCCCTAAGCTAAATACCTCTGGACCCTTGCAGATGACACTGTTTTTATTCTGAAGTGCTCCGAATGTCAAAAAAGGCATTAACAGTTTACATACTGGACACTTGACTACTAGTACTTTAGCATTAGTAACAACTGATGTTGCCCGTTTTAGTGTAATTACCACATTGTTTGGCTATCACATCAATAGTGTTTTTATAAACAAAAGCTTTAGGATAAAACTGCGAGTTTGAGACTTTTATCACAAGATAAGGCGTTGTCTCCATAATGAAATGATTGACAACTTTGCACCATTGGCTGATAATTTTGATTGACAGGATATAGACAGGGGTGGGATCTGTCAGCTGATAAGTAGTTGTGACACCAGGAGTGGGCCGGCCACCTGTTCCTGATTGTTGTAATCAGTGCTTCCTGTGCACCTGCTGGGTGATATGGATTAGACACAGCTCTGGCCACCCTAATTACCCCTAGCCTCTACCAGGCTTTGGGAGGAGTCTGGAAAGAGTAGAAAGAAGAGTAAAGTTGCCAGGATCCCCCATGCAGACCCTCCCTCCGGCAGAAAAAGAAATGGGAGTGAAAATTGGGGATATGATAAGAAGGCCATAATTTTCTCTACCAACCTCTGCTTGGACATTAAATCACACCTAGAACTAATGTTGAACTGTAAAAAAAAAACCAGGATTGTAGTCTGAACCTTGATGAATATAGTTCTACTCGGGAGTGAATGTACTGGGATTAAAGTTATAATCACACCTCTCATATCATGTTGTCCTCTTGCGTAACAATGTTTGAGAATTAAGAAAATGAATTGGTATGTGGCCCAGATAAGTTGACCTAAATTTGCCAGGATCCCCCATGCTGACCCTCAGACAAGCTAGTATGATTGTGTATTATAGTGTATAGAAATAGAATGTCTCTGGAGGGTCTCCTGTTGTCTGAAAGAGGTATAGGGGTGTTTCATTTTATATTTATGTTCATTTGACAAATCATTATCATTGACAAAGGCTATATGTAAAATCTTCAGACTTGTTTATAAAGTCACTTGCATCAACACTCAGAATTAATAACATTTTCAACAAATACTGGAATGTTGAAAGTCTTGAAGATTACAATTTAAGTGTTGTGAAAAATTGATGAACCAAAAGCATAGTTGCAGTTTTTATCATCAATATGGCTTTTAAAAAATCTGTTTCAATTGAAGAATGAAAAAAACACACACACTTCTTGCTCTTCACTAACACTCAGAATAGTAGTACTTCAATCAAGGAGTTTCAATCATGAGTTTCAATAGAACAATTGGTTGTCATCAGAAGTAGACCATCTGTTGGGATTGGGACAATGGATATTCAGTAGTCCCTGGTGGGACATGACTGAATGCCCGCATGCGTCACAATAGCAGATATTTCTAGCTTTGTCATCAGCTTTTAGCTCTATTTTGGACAGAATTAGTGGTGCATACCTAAACCAATTTTCAGGTTTAGGTCCGGACTCGAGTCCAGAGGTTTAGGTTCAGGTCCGGACTTGTAAGTCCGGACCTAAACCCATGGAACATACAGAATTGCATGTTGCCAATCTTAGTGTTGTCTGGGTGCAACTTTGGCCACCTAACATGGAGGCCGGTACTTGACAATGCCCGATGGCAATGTTTTCTTCATTTTGCAGCAAAGATTTTGCAGTGTACGGAAGGTTTTAGGTGGTTTGGAAACAAAAGGGGTATGTGAAATGGTCTTTTATGGTAATAAGTCCGGACTCGGTTCTTGACTTTTAGGTTTTTTTGGACTTGAACCTAAACATTCTTACAAGTCCGGATCCAAGTCCAGTGAACCGGTATGCACCCCTAGACAGAATGCCAAGTCATGGAATTGTTTGTCTTTATTCACTTCTTCCAAGATGCTACCAAATGTAGGCATTTTTATTGTAAATATATGTATAGTAGCTGATTGTGCTTATGAAAAATATGCATTTGGTACTATCACTGAGGAATATTAGATGCAGACAAGAACATGGTGCATGGAGGTCATTTCAGATAGAAATTTAAAGGCATGGCTTTAGTTGAAATAATTTTTTCTGCATACCAGTGGCTGAATTACCTCTTTCCCTTTCTGTCCAATAATATATATTTGGAACTTTATAGATTATATATGTATTTTTTTCAAGTTATAGCTGGTGACAATCTATACAACAAATAAAAATCCATACCGGTATTATACAATAGCTACAATTTCCTATTGGACTCTTACCCACATACACATGCATCCAGAGACATGCATTTCAAGTTCTGGACAAAAATATGCCAGTTACTATCCAAGCAGACATAAAAGTAACATTGTAACAAGGATGGCATTCGAGCGAGTTAAAATCTCTTCCGTGTTGTTACAGTGTAAGAGGGTGTGGATCAACTGTTTGTTTTTGGCGTGGACACGGTATGCGGTCCTGTATAATGTTTTGGGAGGGACAACATTTTAGCACATGGATGTGAAACTTCAGGGTACGGCTTCAGTGTTATATATTTAGAAATAATCATCAAAAATTTCAGACTGATCTTGACACTGAAGCTGCAACATCTTTTTCCCTTTGCTTCCTCTGCTTGCCGTAAATCTAGAAATGTTGTTGTCACAGTTGAAAATGGAAAGGTAAGTTTATAAGTTCAACTGACAAACAAAGTCCAGCGAGAAGATACATTTAATTGTTGTGTTGTGATTGTATCATAAAAGCGTTGATAGGTTTCACTTATTATCTTTTGCCTTTACATGGCATGTTTATTGTATTGTTTCTTTGTTCGCTGGTCATGCAATTGACTGATGAATGGATTTATTCATGTTTTTCGTCGCTGAGTACAGCGCTATACGTTCAGTCAATGTCATTTTATGTTAATCCTGACATTTTGGTGAAAGGGCTTGGCTGTGCCACTGCTGAGAGTAGTTCTAGGAACTGCATGCAGAATTCTGGCAAGTAAAGCTTTGCTTTCAGCCGCTGTTCGGAGAAATACATATCTAAGATTTGAATTCTCCTTTCTGATGGTTGTCTTGGAAACTCAAAGAAAAGTGATAAAAGAAAAGGAGTTATAATTCAAACAGAAATAGTGAAATTTTGTTGTCAAATCTTGAACTGTTGAAGCTGATTTTGTTTGTCAATCAACAAAAACATTAGTATTTCCTAAGGTAAGAGTGCTGGTTCAATCTTATTATATTTGTACCACTGATACAAAATCTGTACAGTTTATTTGTACAAATTTGCCTATGACTGCTAAGTCTATGGGAACTTGGGAAAAAAAAAATTAAAGGTATAATTAATATATATATAACTTGACTGTAGCAGCTCTCAGCACCTTGTATTATCTGGCTATATCCCTCTCACAGAAACAATAGCTAAATACTCTGCTGAGAGCAAGCATTTCAGCAATAGCGTATTGTGTAATTCAATCAATTTGCCTCCATTAGTGCTGACAAGGTCACTTTGTCTGGTCTTTGATGAATGCCCAACCAGGGATTTTTGCCCTCACAGTCTGTTAGTTTCAATCCGGTTTAGAATTTCTCATTATTTTTGAGGCCCTTGGAATGAAATTCTATCTGCTGCAACTAGTTATGTTTTGAGCTTTAGGTAATCCTGTTTTCTGGATTTG